TTCCTTCCAGAGCGGCTGTCAGGTCTGTCACCTGTGACGAGCCTCAAGCTCAAGCCTCAAGGTGTTGACTGGCACCCTTCACCTCACTAATCCTCGTGGCCAAAACCCCTTTCAGCTGAGTCTCTTGCTGTCTATTAGCTGCACACTGCACCTCTGTGTACTGTATTTAGTACAAAACCCAATTAGAAATGTATCAGATAAACACATTAAAGCTTTCTTGACCCCCTGGAGTAATAGGGCTCTCATGTCTCATGAGATTTAATTCTGCAGTTAAGACTGGGATATTAGCATATATGACCCATTACCTGCTCCAGTATGGGCAGAAAAATATATGATTTAAATAATGGTAAATATACTTCACTTGTCTAGGTTCAAGAAAAATAGAACCTCAAATTATTTAAAAGTGATATATATACAGGGTACTGCTAGTAACTATTAGGTTTTAAATACCAAATGGGCTAGATGGGCCAAATGGGCTTCTCTCATTTATGTAGTTCAGGTGGGGAGCTGTGTCAGCATGCAGAGGCTGCAAAGGGACAAGTAAAGGTTTATTTCTGCTGAAAAGAGAAGAGAGAAAACACAACGTTTCGGCCGTGGAGCCTTCTTCAGGTGTGAACTGAACTGGACTGACGCCTGAAGAAGGCTCCACAGCCGAAATGTTGTGTTTTCTTTCTTCTTTTTTTCAGCGTGGAATAAACCTATTGCTCTCTCATTTATGTTCAAGCAGGCAGCTGCGTCAGCATGCGCAGGCTGCAAAGGAACAAGTAGAGGTTTATTCCTGCTGAAAAGAGAAGAAAGAAAACACAAGGTTTCGGCCGTGGATCTCACACCTGAAGAAGGCTCCACAGCCTAAACGTTGTGTTTCTTTTCTTCTCTTTTCAGCAGGGAATAACCCTTTACTTGTTCTCTTATTTATTACCTTCTTATATTCTGAGACCGGTTGATTTTATTATATGATGGTTGTTTAGTTAGACATGGTGCAACCTTAAGCCTTAAGTCTTATGTTTTTTTCCATTAATTTTAAAGTACAGTTTTAGGACATGACAAATTGGAAGACGAAGTATAAACAGTTTTATTCTGGACCTTAATAGATGACAGGAAATGTAGATTTTATGTACAACACCAAAATCTTCAGTTACAATTCTTAAAAAAACATCACCATAGTCCACTATTCTCTAAACCTTAATTAGTTCATTTTAAATGCAAGAAAGATAGCAATAAAATGATTTTTGAACGTATTTATTTCAAAATGTTAAAAGTCACGTGTAGGTTCGTATAAGAAGCACACCTGAAGAAGGCTCCACAGCCGAAACGTTGTGTTTCTTTTCTTCTCTCTTCAGCAGGGAATAACCCTTTAATTGTTCCTTTGCAGCCTGCGCATGCTGACGCAGCTACCTAATTGAATTATAAATGAATAATGTTCTCTCAATAAAGGCCTGACTTAGTCCCCCCCTATATGCAGTGTGCTGTAGATCAATACAATCAATGGCTGGTCAGTCAACCAGTGAGCCCTGGACCTGAACAGATTAGAGCTGGTCCTGTGTTAAAAGTTACAGTCATTTTAGGAATTGTGCTTAAGATTGTTTAAATCTGTACAAAACACTCCTCAGATATTTTGGCAAATGTTCTCCTACATAAAATGATTAAAAGTTTAGAAATGTTTCTTAGTTAACCACTTCGCAGACAGCATCCATGTGTTGACCCAACACTGGTCAAGCATGAAACAGATGTTATCTGGGTTGTCCTTCCATCAGTTTCCATACGGCCCGCTTTCATTTCTAGCACCGATGATGAACTTCAGTTGAAAACTGGTTACGGTACGATCATGTGCACTGAAACATATACCTAGAGATTGCATTTGAGTAGAGGTCTCTTTTTTTCATGTTTTAAGCTCCACAACAAACAACAAGTAAATTTAAGATTTTTGTAATTATTTGTTGAGCTGTTTATTTAATACATTCTAGCATCTGACAGACACTGCATACCTGTAAAAAAATGTTTTCTGAAACTCAGCTTTTCTTAAGCGTTATATGGGGTTGACCAAGCACCTTTTTTTTGTCAAAATCCCAAGATTTACCTGATTTATTCCATCTTTGCTTTGTGAACGTCAATGTGTCTTAAGTTAAAGCTCATGCGGCCTTCTGTACCCAGTAGTGTTTCCGTGCTAATCTGAAGCTACCTCACTGTGGGGAATTCCTTATAAGGACTGAAGAAAACCCTGGCACTGATAAGGCTCCCTCCTTTCTGCTTTCTCTGTTGTGCTCCCCTCTCCCCAGCTCTCATGCACATGCCACATACAACACACAGGCACACCCCCACCCCCACCTCCCCTCGAATACAGACACAATGGCATTCCTTCTTGCTCAGATGCCACCTCCAAATTTGGGAGGCTCGATCCCTTTATAAAGAGAAGTGGGGACTGGACAAAGAGAGGTTACTGTAGCATCTGAAGGTAAGCTCTGGGGGGCTGTTACTGTGTGCGAAGGGAAGAAGGGGGTCACTCTGCCTCACAGTGAAGATACACTGCTTCGCTGTGAGCCATTACCTCCTATTTTCTCTGCTGTGGCAGTGTCACGCTAGCACAGAGGAGTTTGAAAATACCTTATACATCTGCTGTAGGATTACAAATACTTGGTTGTGCCATTGAAAACATCTAGAGGTTTCTAACCTCTTTGCTCCCAGCCTTTCCCACACTCAGCTCTTTAACATCCAGGCGTCAGTGAGCAGAAAGGTTGGTTCTGAGGCAAAGGTTTTCTGTGCTGCCATCTGCTGGGGACGTTTGGGAAGGGTAGAACCGCTAAAAGCAGGGGGAAAGGGGAATATTCAAGTTTTCAGACTCACTGTCTGTGTGTGTTCACAGGGTCAGGAACCTCAGCTGATCTTCTCTACAGGGCTGCACAACACAGGTAAGCTATTATTTCATTTAAAATACTCTGGATTGGAAGCTGATGAGCCATTTCCCTGTAGCCCATGACCATGTAACCCATTTATTTTCATGCTAAAAGCTCTCCCCTTTGTAACTCTTGGTGCTTGGTCATTAAAGTTAACTGCCTCATACTAACATTAGTAGACCACTATGACCAACAAGGCAATAGTCACCCACTGAAAGAAATGTAGTTTAAAATCCTGTACTAAAACAATGTTTGCTGTCTATGTTTTCTGAGAGAACAGAGAGTGATGTGCAAACCCCCACTGGAAACATCCTGTTCTGAAATCTGGAAAAACTTTTTGGCTGGATGAAAAATGACCAAAATCAAGTGTTGCTTCCTCTGTTGTTTTTCAACCAGATTTTAAATTCTTGTAGCTTAAAGACTGTCAATTTAAAAATTTAGGACAATCTCCATGAGACCAAGAGGATTGGGGCATACAGTACGTATGACGATACGTATTCTTTTTTACAGCTTACGTTCTTTCGAAGACACACCTTACCTAACTGTCAAAATTCTGCTTGCTTTCATAATCTTGTAGCTGTTTGCAGTCCAGATATTTAACATCTGAGGTACCTTTTCATAGATCAGTCAGTGCAGATGTCTGAGGATTTGGATGAAACCTGACACTTCCCTGAAATGAGGAGGGTCTCTCTAACTTTCACTCTGTAGTTTACAACAATGGGAGATGCACATATGGCGGAGTTTGGGGCTGCTGCCCCCTACCTCCGCAAATCAGACAGGGAGCGTCTGGAGGCGCAGACTCGCCCCTTCGACATGAAGAAGGAGTGCTTCGTACCAGACGTTGTGGAGGAGTTTGTGAAGGGGTCGATCGTCAGTCGCGATGGGGACAAAGTCACCGTTGAGACGGAGAAAGGCAAGGTGAGACCCACCAATAAGTGTCTTTGAGACTGAGACCACTGGCAAGGCAGCCTTAGACTCATGGCTGAGGCACACAATGTGTCACCTGGTCCTAGTACATACAGTACATACTTTTTACAATTTATCTATTTAAAAGTTAATTTTACTGTTGAAATGATGGTAACCATAAACACAGGGTGGGGCAAGTTTGTCAGACTGAAATGGTTTCGCTCTGTATGTGTGCACACACCTATAAAGACGCTTACTGGAGACACTGTATACATAGACCTGTACAGACTCTTAGTGGACACACTGTATACACACACACCTGTACAGACTCTTACTGGACACACTGTATATATATACACACACACACCTGTACAGACTCTTACTGGACACACTGTATACACACACCTGTACAGACTGTTACTTGAGACACTGTATACACACACCTGTAGAGACTGTTACTGGAGACACTATACACACACACACTTGTACAGACTCTTACTGGGTACACTGTACATACACACAACTGCAACCACTCTGCACTCTTTTAGCACTTTAGGGATAGATACACAATGACTTTGTTAGATCTGAGTGAAGTTAAAATCTAATAAAATACTTTTTTCAGATTAGCCAGGTATATTTATAAGTACAGTGTTTAAATAAGTTCATCAGAGTGGTACGTCATGCGTCTGTGTCCGTTGTTTCTCCAGACAGTGACAGTGAAGGAGTGTGATATACACCCTCAGAACCCGCCCAAGTTTGATAAAATTGAAGACATGGCCATGTTCACCTTCCTGCACGAGCCCGCTGTGCTGTTTAACCTCAAAGAGCGTTACGCAGCCTGGATGATCTACGTGAGTAAAGTTCGCTAACCCACTATACCCAGCAAAGAACAGAAAGTTCTGATCACCACAGCTCATGTCAACTTCAATTTTAACCTCCAGACCACAGCTGCAGCGTTTCTTCATATTAATGTCTTTTAAACAAACATTTTTTTCAGTTCAAGTTTGTTCTACCTAAAAAAGTGAAGAACAAATTCCAATTAATTGAAACCACTCTCCACAACTGCAGGTTGTTATAAATTTGTTACACATACGGTACTTGATTCCTCCTCTTACGAAGACACAGCGCAGTTGCAGAATGTAGTACTTTAAGCTAGGATTGTAGAGCCTGTGTAATCCCCTGGGTGCTGCTTCTGTCTTGCAGACCTACTCTGGGCTGTTCTGCGTCACTGTCAACCCCTACAAGTGGCTGCCTGTGTACAATGCAGAGGTGGTCAATGCCTACAGAGGCAAGAAGAGGACTGAAGCTCCTCCCCACATCTTCTCCATCTCTGACAACGCCTATCAGTACATGCTGACAGGTAAACACACCGCACATGAAATCTCGTCACATTACATAGTACCATTTTAAAACATTACTGCTGCTTCTGCATCAAATCATATTACTCTTCATCTTTCAGACAGAGAAAACCAGTCCATCCTCATCACGTAAGTCTGTGCCCTTGATTCTTTATGCTTTGTAGAAAAATGGTCTGTGTCCCCTTGTCTTCCAGTCAAAAAGCCACAATTCGATCCCAGATAAACTTGTACATGGCTATATGTCTGCCTATCCCGAAGCATGAACAGTGCCACACAGGACTCTAATGACACTCTTTTCAGGCCAGCTGATATGTAAACAAGCAGACACAAGTTCCATAAACAATAGAAATTAAAACATTTATCAGAATGTATGTACATATATGTTAATGTATGAATCTATGTTAAGTCATACGACTCACAAAATAAAACATTTATGTTATCCTTTCACATTTTTTAGCTTCTGTTCAAAAGCTAAAGAACATAAGAACATAAAAAGTATTTACATGATTAGTATTTCTGTTTTCTGAAGTTTCTCTGCTGTTGAGAGTGCTGTGTATAGTTGCAAATATGTCTGGAGCGATGATGAGACTGGAGTGTTTCAGTGTGAATGAGCATCCCTCATCTTGTCTTGCCTGTGTCGGTGTCCCCAGTGGAGAATCCGGTGCTGGGAAGACTGTGAACACCAAGAGGGTCATTCAGTACTTTGCCAGCATTGCGGCTGTGGGCGGGAAGAAGGACTCGGCAGCGGCTAACAAGGTGGGTCCGGATCCTGCTGCAGTAGCAGTAGAAGTGAAGGAGTGAGTAGGGAGCTGTAAGGATGACCTCAACACTAGAAATGTATTATTATCACAGAGGGAGTTGGCCTAGATTATCTGGACCAAAAACATTTAGCTTCCTCAGCTGCCACTTTCTCAATCTGAGTTTTCGGTCTTGCAATTGTGCTGTCATTGTAGTTCAAAAGGAACGTGGGATTAAAAATAAGGGTGTACCATTATTTGTTTGGAGTGTGAAGTATTGGAAGTATTGGAAACTAATGACTCCATAGGTCCATAGAGAAGTCCATATGTCTGCTCACCATGACCCTATACTCCATCTCAGGGCACCCTGGAGGATCAAATCATCCAGGCCAACCCAGCCCTGGAGGCCTTTGGCAATGCCAAGACTGCGAGGAACGACAACTCCTCGCGATTTGTGAGTAACCCCTCTGCTGCCTGAAGATCAGGAGACTGGTGTAAAAAACATTCATCTTTTTGCAGTGCTGAAATGACATCCCAGCTCAACAAAGCAGTACCGACTCGTAAGTGTAGTTGATATTAGAGCTGACTTCTCTTGTCTCTCTCTTTTTAGGGCAAATTCATCCGAATTCACTTTGGGACCACTGGAAAACTTGCATCTGCTGACATTGAGACATGTGAGAAATTCTCTAAAAATAAGCTTACTTTAGCGTGGCACTGTGGTGCAGTGTTAAGCATTGCTGCCTCACTACAGTGGGACCCTGGGTTCAATTCCTGGGGTGTGGTCAGCGTGGAGTTTTTATGTTTTTCCTTTTGTGTTTTAATGGGTTTTCTCTGAGTGCTCTGGTTTTCTCCCATTTCAACGCGCCAAGACGTGCTGGTAGGTTAATTGTAATCTGGTGGTTAGAAAATGGATGGATGGACCAGATTTCTATTTGGGACTGTATTTGTGAGATGTTAAGTGTTTGTTCTAAGTAGTGTCTTGTGTTGATCTTTACAGATCTGCTGGAGAAGTCTCGTGTGACCTTCCAGCTCAAGGCTGAGAGAGACTATCACATCTTCTACCAGATCCTGTCCCAGAAGAAGCCAGAGCTGCTGGGTCAGTACTGCAGTCTGTTCTCTAGAGCGTGAATTGCAGAGACTCACCAGCACCTGGACTGACACTTGGGTTTTCTCTTCTCTAGAGATGCTGCTCATCACCAACAACCCCTATGACTATGCCTTCATCTCCCAAGGAGAGACCACAGTGGCGTCCATTGATGATGCTGATGAGCTGATGGCCACAGACGTGAGTGACCAGACTAAATGGCTCTGAGGAGGAATAAATATTGGATGGGAGACATCCTGGGAAAAGGTTTCTGCTGGAAGAGGTGTTAGTGGGGGCAGTTGGGGGTGCTCACCCTGCGGGCTGTGTGGGTCCTAATTCCAAAGTATAGAAATGGAAATACTAAAATGAGAGCTGGTGTGTGGTGAGTGTACTCACCAGTCCTCATTACCAAGCGCTTTGAGTGGAGTGTCCAGAAAAGTGCTACATAAGTGTAAGAATTATAATAAATACACCTTCAGGCTAAAGAGCTCTCAATGACACTTTGTTCACTCTCTGGTTAAGTGCGCTCAGTAGCATAATGGATTGAATCATTCTCTCCTGTCCTGCAGAGCGCTTTTGATGTGCTGGGCTTCACTCAGGAAGAGAAAAACAGCATCTATAAGCTGACTGGAGCCATCATGCACTACGGCAACATGAAGTTCAAGCAGAAGCAGCGAGAGGAACAGGCAGAGTCTGATGGCACTGAGGGTAGGCCTGGCTGCACTGAGCCACCTTTCATTACACTGTCTAGGGATGCTTACAAACATCAAACAGTTTATTCGCCAATAAGCCTGTTTCTTCACTCAAATACCAGGTCAAAGTGGAAGATTACTGATTGACAAAATCTGATTATATTTATCCCTGAAACATTTGTGTGAGCAGTCTGTCTCCTGCATGTAAAAATCACTGTATATGTTCAGTGGGTTGTTTTTGGTTTGGGTGTCAGCCTTGTCAAAGCCCTATAATTAATGTGATTATTAATTATTAATATGATTAATTAATGTCTAAAACATGAATATAAACTAATCTAGTTTAAATCTATTCCAGATGCTGACAAGTCTGCCTATCTGATGGGTCTGAACTCTGCTGATCTCATCAAGGGTCTGTGTCACCCCAGGGTGAAAGTAGGGAATGAATGGGTGACCAAGGGGCAGAATGTCCAGCAGGTGAGACTCAGAAGAGCATAAACACCAACAAACTGATCCAGAATGAGTAAGGAGCTGTTGATATCTACCAAAGGATTGACATGGGGTAGCTCAACAACAGTTTTGTCCTGTCTACTCCACATATGGAACTAAAGTGTTTCCAAATAAACAGTTATCTTCCAAATAAAAGTAACATATAAGAAAATAATGTTAAAATGGGACTAAATGGAAGTAAAACTTCCCCACATAAAAAACAAGAAAATGAAGATGTACCTTACAATTAATACAAGTTGTTACTGCCGAAGCTGAGACATTTGACAATGGCTTAAATTTAATATCCCAATAATTTTCTATAAACAAAATACAGCAGTTTACCTACCTCTCGTTGACCTGTCAATCTGAACATTGGTTTGATGACTTATTGACTGAACAGCCTTGCCTTCCTTTCTCTCGGCCTACAGGTGAACTACGCCGTTGGTGCCCTGTCCAAGGCAGTGTATGAGAGGATGTTCCTGTGGATGGTGGTGAGAATCAACCAGTCCCTGGAGACCAAGCAGCCTCGCCAGTACTTCATCGGTGTGCTGGACATTGCTGGGTTCGAGATCTTTGAGGTGAAGGGAAAGACAAAGGTCTATAATAAATATTAACATAGAAGAGGAGAAGTGTTACAGGTACTAAAAGCTCTTAAAGGGCCTTGTGGTATTCTGCCGACTGTACTTGTCGTTACAACATTAGAGGTTGTTCATTGTCTAGTAGTAAACCCTTCCAGGAGTCACTCAGGAGTGAGGTGATACCTGTTGACTTAAGTACCGCCCATCAATAAAAAGTGACAGAAGTCAAAACAGTGAAAGTCTGAAAGCAATAATTAGGACTGAACAAGAGGACTATCTATACAGCAAATAGGATTCTAGGAATTAATCAACATGGATTTAGAAAATGTAGGTGTGTTTCTTGAACATTTCCTGCAAAGGGCTAAAATTGAAAGGTTCTAGAGGAAACAATTACAGCTTAAAATAAAAATGTTTTTTTTCTTGTCACTGAGTTATGGAATTAATATCAAGCAAATGCTACCATTTGAAAAAGCCTCCTGTAACAATGACAAGTCTGAACTCTCCCAGTGTCAGCAACGCAAAGACTGTTGACTTTGTACAGCATAATCTCACTCAATCTCACCCTTAAATTCCATTTTATTTTATTGACCCCTAATAACACCAGGATTCCCATTGTCTCTTGCAGTTCAACACATTTGAGCAGCTGTGCATCAACTTCACCAACGAGAAGCTGCAGCAGTTCTTCAACCACCACATGTTTGTGCTGGAGCAGGAGGAGTACAAGAAGGAGGGGATCGAATGGGAGTTCATTGACTTCGGCATGGACCTGCAGGCCTGCATTGACCTCATTGAGAAGGTTTGTCAGTCACATGAGAGCACAGAGGCACTGCAGGTTCACACAGGTGGTGAACACAGCAACACAAAGAAGAGTAACTTCAATCTGAGTCTTGAGTGTCTATGAAACAAGGTAGCCTACTGCAGATCTAGCACTACACACCTTATGTCGATACTCTGTAGGGCTGTCAGTTCCTCACAGAGTATTGCTGCTCTATTGTGGGTCGTGTTACTGTAGCACTGGTGTCAGTGATTGCTCTCCTGAAATGCTCTAGTATCTTTGCCATCTGTAGTCTATCTCTCATTCCAGCCCATGGGTATCATGTCCATCCTTGAAGAGGAGTGCATGTTCCCCAAGGCCAGTGATACTACCTTCAAAGCCAAGCTGTACGACAACCATCTTGGCAAATCAGCAAACTTCCAGAAGCCCAGGATTGTCAAGGGGAAACCAGAGGCCCATTTTGCCCTGGTTCACTACGCTGGCACTGTGGACTACAACATCAATGGTTGGCTGGTGAAGAACAAGGACCCCCTGAATGAGACGGTGGTGGGGCTGTACCAGAAGTCTTCTCTCAAGCTGCTCAGCATCCTGTTCGCTAATTATGCTAGTAGTGACTCAGGTAGGAACTCTTATTTTGTCATTTTTAAAATAAAGTGTGATCTGTTTTTAATTTAATTAAATTGAATTCCAGGGCATTGTTTTCAAAATGTGACCAAAAATATATATATAGTACAATGACAAATCATTTATTCAGAAGACAGAAATCAATCGCAAAAAATCGCAATTAATTTTAACATACCTGTAGAAATAAAAAAGAAGATTTTTTTTTCCCAGTAAATGTGGTCAATTCAAGTGCTTTTAATTTTGTTATACGGTTTAAAACTTTCTGCGGGTATTCATTAAACACATTCTCAGTTCTTATAGTAACAACAAATGGCAAATAAATGAAAGAATGATTGGTTTCCCAAGCTGAATCTGTCCAGAATTTTTTGTTTATGTTGTAATACAGCAGTATAGACACTGCTGGTGCTTTGTTGATTCTTACACTGTGGATCCAGCCACAGATCTGGTGGTGCAAAGAGAGACATGAACCTTCTTCTCTTATTGAGCAGCACAAGAAGGGGGCAAAGGCAAAGGAGGAGGAAAGAAGAAGGGTTCGTCCTTCCAGACTGTGTCAGCTCTCCACAGGGTGAGTGACCTAGAGCCTCTCTGATTCCTCGGGCCCATGTTTGTGTCACTGGCCATTGACCACTCTTCATGATGCAACAGGGAGGAGGGCCCAAGAGCCACTCCTGTGTAACTCATGAAAGTGATATCAGAGGTCTTCAGGAGTTTTTATACACTTCCAACAGGTAACCTGCCAACCCAATTATTCAAACAATAAAGTAGATCTATTCTTCAGGACAATTCATTGCATTCCATCACTTTAGCTATCATCTGCTTAAGATTTCTTTCAATTATGATCCTTTTGGGAAATAATTGATTATTATATCACATAAAATGGAAAACTGAACAATTTATTGGTATCATATTTTATAGAAACTTACAGTACTTTTAAAATAATGCATTTTGTTTTAAATTCTCAGCCAAAATATTCAAATTTCATAAATTAAAAGGTAAGTAACAGCTACATAAATACAGTGGCTTGTGTGTGCTACAGTTGTTGTGGATGCTCATTTTCTTTACAATTCCTGAAATTTCAAGCTCTTTTCTTTAAGAAAAATGCAATATCAATTTTCTCATGGTCCTTTATAGTGTCTTTTACATGCTGAATACACTTTTCAGAATGTTAAGGCATTTGTTTTTCACATAGTATTCCTGTGTGTTACAATGTGGTCAAAAAGTCTGATTTAAGTGCCTTGATTTTTAGGCTGTTTGGTCACCAAATGTGTTATAATGGAAAGGGTTTGATGACTTCCCATAGGCACTGTATTCTGTGTACTGAACAATACACACTTATGAAATGCAACTGAAATTGTAACTCTTTGAAACAATTGTGCTTGGGATCCATTCTTTGCCTTTGTGATTCACCTGTGTAATTTAATTTAATTTTATTTATGCCCATTCTCACAGGAGAACCTGAACAAGCTGATGACAAACCTGAGGTCCACCCACCCTCACTTTGTGCGCTGTATCATCCCCAATGAGACTAAGACTCCAGGAGCCATGGAGAATCCTCTGGTAATGCACCAGCTGCGCTGTAATGGTGTGCTGGAAGGCATCAGGATCTGCAGAAAGGGTTTCCCCAACAGGATCCTGTACGGGGACTTCAAACAGAGGTAGGAGTCACTCTATCCAGGACTAATATCTCCTAATATAGCCTTCGAATGCCTTCTAAAGATGTGTCTGCTGCCTTCACAGATACCGCATCCTGAACCCCTCTGCCATCCCTGAAGGCCAGTTCATAGACAGCAAGAAGGGAGCAGAAAAACTGCTGGGGTCCCTGGACATTGACTGCCAACAGTACAGATTTGGACACACTAAGGTAAGGGCCAACAAGTTATGCAAAATATCATTTAGAGATGTATTTGCAGAGACAAGACATACGTTTTCCTTTCTGCCTCTGTCAGGTGTTCTTCAAGGCTGGGTTGCTGGGTCAGCTGGAGGAGATGAGAGATGACCGCTTGTCTCTCATCATCACTGCTATCCAGGCCAGGTCCCGTGGTCTTCTCTCAAGAATTGAGTACCAGAAGATCGTAGAGCGCAGGTAAGGATGCCAATGTTTCATGAACACACTCTATATTAGCCTTACAATTACATTTTATCCTTTTACCAATGTTGCATTTGTTCCTTGAAGAGATGCCCTGCTCGTGATCCAGTGGAACGTCCGAGCCTTCATGAGTGTGAAGAATTGGCCCTGGATGAAGCTCTTCTTCAAGATCAAACCTTTGCTAAGATCTGCTGAAGCTGAGAAGGAGATGGCCAACATGAAGGAGGAGTTCCTGAAGCTCAAAGAGGCCTACGCCAAATCTGAGGCCCGCAGGAAGGAGCTGGAAGAGAAGATGGTCTCTCTTCTCCAAGAGAAGAATGATCTGCAGCTGCAAGTTCAGGCTGTGAGTTCACACCAATATTTAGTTTATATTTTACCATAACAATTAAGTGGGTTCTGACAGTTATTCGTGGATGGGTGGTTGTGTGCACAACACTCTATCTTCAAGCTGTATTTAACTTATTCATGTTTTAAACCTATAGTTGAAAATCAGAAATGTACTGGTGGAAAAATGCTACACCTGTTCATCATATACAGTAACTCAATTGGTGAACTTCTTTACAGGAACAAGATAATCTTTGTGATGCTGAGGAACGGTGTGACCAGCTGATTAAGAACAAGATCCAGCTGGAGGCCAAAGCGAAGGAGCTGACAGAGAGGCTGGAGGATGAGGAGGAGATGAACGCAGAGCTGACTGCCAAGAAGAGAAAACT